GGGGGGGTGTATAGTTATTATATGTGTGTATGTATGTACATAACTTGACTTTGCACACCGAATTTCCCCACATTCATCAATAAAATCTTTAAATGTAAAAAAAAAAAGAAAAAGAAAAACAGCAACAACAATTTTTTAAAAACTCAACAAAAACAGAACTGAAAAATATGTATGAGCAAAGAAGTTATGGTTCTTCATTCATAGTACCTTAGGAAACAAACAGAATTGAAAAATATGTATGGATAAAGAAGTTATGTCTCCTTAATCTATAGCACTCCAGAAAGAAAAAAAACAGTGGAAAAATCAGGTTGAATAAAGGAGTTGTGTCTCTTTATTTATAGTACTCCAGAACAGCGCGTTAAATGGGTTAAAGCACAGACCTGCACTGTATAGCTGGTTTCTGCAGAGACCTGTCTGCTGTATTCCAATGTATCAGGAGTAAGCTGAAAATCTTTGACCTGCAGAGGGAAGATTGTACGATTGTTGGATTGAACATGATTGTTGGAGCGTACATGATCGTATGATTTTTGGATTGTCTATGATTGTATTATTGTTGAATTGTTCATGATTGTATGATTGTTGGATTGTCTATGATTGTATGATTGTTGGATTGTTCATGATTTTATGATTGTTGGATTCAAACTGTTTGGATGATTGTTGTGGTGCACACGTTCGCGTGATTTTTGGAGTGTACATGATTGTAGGATTGTTGGAGTGTGCATGATTCTTTGATAGTTGGAGTGTGCATGATTGTAGGATTGTTGGAGTGTACATGATTGTAGGATTGTTGGAGTGTACATGATTGTAGTATTGTTGGAGTGTGCATGATTGTAGGATTGTTGGAGTGTGCATGATTCTTTGATAGTTGGATTGAAAATGTTTGGGTGATTGTTGTGGCGCAACCAGTTCGTATGATTTTTGGAGTGCACATGATTGTAGGATTGTTGGATTGTCCATGATAGCCTGATTGTTGGAATATTCTTTTTTGTGGGTATCTTTATGCCCCAATCGACAAAATTTAGATCATTTGGGAAGCCAGCTTCCGACCGTGCCTATCACGGCTAACCCGGGCTGAGATGTATACATACAACATCCTAGCAGAAAGGCCGAGATACTCAATAAAAATTTTCCACGCTAGGGAATTGAACTAGAGTCCCCTGTGTTTGACGTCGAAACGCTAACCACTGTACCATATGCGCTGGTTTGTTAGTGTGTGTGTGTGTGTGTGTGTGTGTGTGTGTGTGTGTGTGTGTGTGTGTGTATGTGTGTGTGTGTTTGTGTGAATGTGCAAGCGCATGTGTCTGCATGTATGTGTGTATGGGGG